ATAGGACAACTTAAACTTTCTGTGTCTCAGTTTTCTAATCTGTAAAATAATAACCTAACTCATAATGTTAATGTGAAGATTAAAGAAGTTAATATATGTAATGGGCTTAAAGCAGTGCCTTGCATAGATTAAATGCAACAATCATATTAATTGTTGCATTGTTATGTATGTGTCAGTACAAAATTGAATACTGACATAAGTGCATGGGAGTGAATTACTTGGAAATGCTTTAAGCAATATAGTTCTCTGTTTACCTAACAAATCATATTTAACTATGAGCTATTAGTGGAACTGTGTTGATTTAGCAGTTATGTGTGAACATCTTTCAGAAGCTTTCTTCTTTTGATATTTGAGTAAAGAAACTACTCTCATTAATGCTGACTTATTCAGGTAACTTTTGTAGAGTATTGGTCTTGATCATCATGTTTATATCTTACATGAAAGGTTTTCAACCCTGACTAACATTAGAAGCAAATGGGTCCGCCAGTTGTATTGGAAAGTTTGGGGGTGGCACTCAGGCATTGGTATTTTTTAAAAGCTCCCCAGGGGATTTTAATTGTTGGCAGAGTTGGAAATCACTGGCCTAGAGCAATAGTAATTAAATATATATCCATATCATTTAGTTTCTGACACTGAAATATATTTTTTTCACACTTAAATAAATAAAATGACATGGCTATTTATGGATGTTTCTTTAAAGGCAGACCTATTGTTTCCATTAATTCTGTAGCTTGTGTTATAAAGCAGAAATGAGAAGTTTGTTTTAAAATTATCTGTGGAGTTTTGGGTTTTTTTGGCATGATGAAGGCTGTATATATTTTAAAAATATATAGGATCACACAATAGTAAAGGTGAGAGGGACCCTCAAAGCATCTAGTAGAAATATTGCACACTTTGAAGCCAGTCCTGGCTTGCAGTGACTGATTCACTTAGAGCTATATGATCTTGGGCTACTTACTTAATCAGTCTGAGCCGCAACTTCATCTCTGTAGAATTGAGATGTATGTGTACTTTGTACGATGACAACTGCATTTCATATGATACACACACACACACACACACACACACACACACACATCTTGACTGCCTGACTCCTGCCTGATCCCCATACCATTTGGTGCAGATATCTAGAGCAGGGACTGTGTGGGAGCCTCTGCAGGGCTGTCTGAGCTTGAAGGGCCAGTTACTGAGAACTGCTTCCTCCCACTACTCAGGGATCATTTCTCTGGCTCTTTTTGGATTATTTCATGGCTGACTGTTTGGATCCCATGACTTTTCATGAGCATAACATTTAGTCTGTTGGGGGTCAGTTACTGCTAAGTAGAGTGAAGCTGTTAATGAGACTAGAGATGAAGATGGCTTCTTGTTGCCACATGATGGAAGCTTTGGGTACTTCCTCTTTGAGCCCTAGACAATACATGTGCAGGACACAGATGGCTGCTTTCTCTTTCCAGCTGTCTTCCTGTCCATTGCTTCTTTGTGTTGAGTAGAGACAGTAGGAAGCCACTATCTCTATCTTAGTTTGGGGGAAGGAGAGAAAAAATTACAGACTTCTTTGATTTTCTTTTGTATGATAGGGACAGTGGATTTTGTCTCCTTCCCAACCCTTGTCTTTCAGATCCTGTAGCATATGGCTATAAACATATTACATCATCCAGCTCTCCTGTTGCACATTCTTTATGTCATAAGAAGGAGGTTCATGGGTTGTTTCTAATTAGTTATAAAGTATAATGCTTGAAGTCTTCATCTTCGTTATGGTGCATCAATGTCCTTCCCACTCATAGGCCTGGATTTAGGTCTATTCTCAATCTTCTGAGATTTCTGCTTTTGTCACCATCTCTCTGGACTGATCTGAAGGTTTCATTGGAAATATTTATAAATTCAGCTACCATTTTCCTATTTTCCCCTCAGCTGGAATAGGCACCATCTTCTCACTATTAGTATTAGTGGTAAGTCTATTGATTTTTTTAGCTGATGAAGATCTTGAAACATTACACTTGTGGGGTGGGTGTTCTAACATAAACTTTGTACTCCACTAGATTTTGAGACTCTTGAGGGTAGGAACCCAGTGAACATAGTCATAACTATCATTTATTATACACCTACTATGTACTAGTGACTTCGATTTAATTATTTCAATTAATTCCCATAAAAATAATGTACACATAAGGAATCATTTCAGATAGCTTAAGTAAACTGCCCAAGGTCATCTAGTTCATGAGTAAGAGTTGGATTTTGAACTCAGTTTGATCTTAAATCCTCTTTTCTAAATCATCTTTCCAAACTCCTTCTTAAAGAAAAGGGTAGATACAGATAAGAGGGATGGGATTTGGGCCTGTTGAAGGTTGAATGGAACTGGTATGGAGTTTCATTCTTAAAGAAAAGGAGAGAAGATCTGCAGATCTTCAGAGCCCTTGCTTTTCCCACTAATCTACACTGACTTGCATCACTGGAACACATTGACATTTAGTAAATGGACCCTACAACCCTCAAGGCAGAAGTTACCCCTTCAGAAGGCTTTGGCCCATGTGCAGGTCTTCACTTTGTGCTTTTTATTCATGTCAGAGAGGCTCAGATTATGTGAAGATGTCTCAGAATCAGACAAACTCTGAAGAAGATTGGAGTGAATCCGTGGTGATAGTCCATGGTGAGGAGTCAGGTCTGTATTGAAGTCAGCCTTGGCTTTCTGAAGATCAGGGGATACTCTGCAGTCAGCCTCTATGCTTACAGTTCAGACCACCAGAATATGCCCACTGGATTTGGCAAGCAGTAGGAAGTATATAAATCTTTATGAAGTTGAAGCTTTGTTGAATGTGCCCAGAGAATATTTTCCATTTAATGTATTTGGAAACTATAAATATAATTCCCGCTGGGGAGTAAAAGTAATTGCTTCAGAAAAGAAAAAATCAGTTCTTTAAATGGCTTAACTCCTTTCACAAACATTTGCTTTTTTTAATGACTGGGAAATTCCTGGTACAGGAAAATAAAATGTCCTTTGTTACAAAGGAGGTCGTTCTGGTCTTAACTGACCCTATGCACTCTAGTTCCTGTTTTCTGTTCCATATTTTGTCACCAGAGGTTATTGGAAGGATAATCCCTCTGTGGATTTTCACTGCTTTTAGGGCATGTTGCCAAAGAGAAAGTTATCTTGGCTCAGAAACTGCCAAAGCAGTTCAGAAAGCTCAGATCCCAGGGGTACTGAGCCAGTGACTGATAATGACTTGATTTAGGTTGGCCATGGGTTGGATTTTTAAAGCACACTTTTTATGTGTGTTAGGTTTGCTGTGTCTGCTTCACCCTCTTCAGATTTTTCAACAGACTCATTGCTTCTTGGATCAGGAAGGATTTTCCTTTCCTAGGCATGCTATTCTGCTTTGATTCTATTCTTATGAACAGAAACATCTGTACCAGTTTGAGGCCTCATGTTCATCTTTTTAACCTAGTATAAAGGAAAAACAGCTGTTGAAAGAAGTTGCCCTGTATCTCTTTCTTTGAACACTGGAGGCTGATTTCTCCTAAAATTAATTTCTGAAATGGCTTGGCTAAAGTGAAGAGTATATCTGAGCTCTTAGATTTGCTCAGTGAAGATGTTCTCCTAAATGGTAGTGTAGAATAGTTCTCAGTGGATGCCTTTGATTTAATTGAAGCTCAGTTTCCTCAAGCTTTAAAATAGCCATTTCCAACCAAGGAGGATGTTGAAAGTATTAGGTAGGGAGATTTTTACATCTATCCTGGACATTTTTCATAGAGAGGTAAACATGGAAGAGGTTCAAATGAACCCTGACAACAATCTCTGTAGTCTCCTTTAAATTACATATCTTTAAGACAATCTCTTTGAAGGATTAGGGGTGGGAAATAAACTGATATTTATTAACTGCTTCTTAGGCAGCAGCATTGTGCTAGATGCTTTCTGCAGATTACCTTTTTAGATTTATCTAGGTTTGTGTGGTTAATTAGTGACAGCCCATAAGATTACCAAACTACCATGCTGCTCTCACATCTTGAAGGGTCTGTGTCAGAGTCATTACAACCCCCCAAAATTCATCCATGGCTATAATAGATCAATGTTTTGATAAGCTTTTTTTTTTTCCTGCTTGATTAGAAGTTTTTATTATTTAAAAAATTCAGGGCTTCCCTGGTGGCGCAGTGGTTGAGAGTCCGCCTGCCGATGCAGGGGACACGGGTTCGTGCCTCTGTCCGGGAAGATCCCACGTGCCGCGGAGCAGCTGGGCCCGTGAGCCATGGCCGCTGAGCCTGCGTGTCCGGAGGCTGTGCTCCACAACGGGAGAGGCCACAACAGTGAGAGGCCCGCATACTGAAAAAAAAAAAAAAAATTCACACCCTTGCCACTGAGAATTTGGTTCTTATTATAATTTGTTAATAAAATCTGTGTTTTGAGTCACTTTCATGCCTCCCTAGGTCTGAGACTCCAAGATGAGGCTCTGTTGCATAAATAAGTCTAGAATAATTCTTGCTCTGGGATTAAGAAACTCTGTCTTTAGCTGTCATGGAGAGGAGAGGATTGTAAAATTCAGTCATGAGCTGCTTAGGTATTTTCTGCAGATCCCATTTCTTGCCCCAAACACTGTGGCCCCTCTCGGACACTCTAGAACCCTTGCTTGAAATCTCTTGAGGAAGTCAGGCTTGACCTGGGCATTACTCATCTTCTTTAGTACACCCCTCTCCACTGCCCCCAATGTCTAGGTTTATTGTAGGCAGCCAATGAGTATTTTGTTGGACTTAATAGCTAGTACAAAAGCATTGGGGAAAATATGGCTAGAAAATGCTATCATATTTGAAATTGGGAAATTCTGGGTAATTGCTGAGTGCCTCATATTATTAGTTCTTGTGGGGAAAATACATGGCAGAATTCATGATGGGTTTATATTGTAAAACGAAAACTCTTATGAGATGAATCAGATGCTACATATCTGCTTATGATACTCAGAATGGGAATGACACTGATTTGCTGATAATGTATTATTATTATTATTCTGTAGCCCCAGATGATACAGCAAACTCTCAAGAGGACATTGCAGTATTATGAGCACCAATTTACTGGGTAAGTAAAAATGGATTTTGGCTATTATTGGGGACAAATTAAAGATAATCACTACATAGAGAACAGACCTGTGGTTGCCAGGTGGTGGGGGAAAGGGTTGGGGGAGGGATGGAGTGGGAGGTTGGGGTTAACAGATGTAAACTATTATATATAGAATGGATAAACAGCAAGGTCCTACTGTATAGCACAGGGAACTATAGTCAATATCCTATGATAAACCATAATGGAAAAGAATATATATAAAAATAATGTAGATATGTATAACTGAATCACTTTGCTGTACAACAGAAGTTAACACAACATTGTAAATCAACTATACTCCAATTTTAAAAAAAAGAGTTACTCAAACATAGCTGTTGAACATGTGGGCAACCAAGCCAACCTTATTGCATAATGATTATGATCTCAGTGTGAAGTGGGAGCTCATAGGAGCCCCATGGAGTGATTTCCTTTAGTTTATTTGTGTTGAATCCTTTTAAGTAAAATCCCTTTTGCTAGTGCTTTCCTTTTTCTTCCTTCTTGTGCTCTTACCCTCTCATTCTCATCCACTGAATCTCATATTTTGCCTTAGTAATATCATAAGGTTTATTAGTACCAACCAAGAGGCTTTAAATGGGATTTTAGGATCCTTCAGTAAAGTTTAATCAAATTCACTACAAGCTTAACACAGTTCACTGAGAAGTGTTTGTTTAGTTAGAGTCACATGTAACATATTTCCTTTATTTATTCCCCATTTCCTGAAATGGTTGTGGTATGATGTAAAGTAAGAAGATTTGAGGTCAAAAGACAGGAATTCAAGGCCTCACCAGGATATAGAACTTTAAAGTAACTTTATCTCTTTTAAAGGGTGATGGTGATGGTAACAACTAAATCAAGGATTATATGTCATTATTAAATGAGGTAATTTTAATGAAAGTATTTTGTAAACAGGAAGCTCCAAATAAGTGTAAGGTATATCCTTGATTGGGTACAGCAGAAAGCAGTTGGCAAATACAAAAGCCTAAATTCACTTTCTGATGCAGTCTAGCTATTTAAATTAAATGTACAATGTACTACAGCTATTTATCTTTGTAGAAGTTTAAGAACTTATGAGGAGTCAAGTTTCAAACCCTGGTACCTCTTGAAATGCTATGGGGAATCATTGAACATTTATGGGTAATAGTCATTACCATGGAGATCAAGAACATATTTTTGGCTTATTAGGATATAGTGTTTTTTTTTTTTTTTTTTTTTTTTTATAAAACAAAAGGGAGGAAAACTTAGTGGAAAACTAATCTCAGTACCGAGTAGAATGCCATATACTTTAAGTGCTTGATGATTATGTTAACTGTCATTTCAAAGGGAATTGCCCTGAAACTTTGTTATATCAATCCTCAAGAGTACAGTACTAGAAAAAACATATTATTTAAACTCATGAGATGGTTTTTAATTTGAGACTATTTGTAGTTTTAAATGGTTTATTTTAAGGGAGATAAATAATGTCAAGTTAATCTCTTCCCACATACTCTAAAATAAAACTTAATCACTCTAATTGGATTTGCTGCTTTCAAATATGGTGTTTGGATTAAACTAGTCAATGTATTTAGAACAATTCCTGGTATGTGGTAAGCACCACATGCTTGTTTACTCATATTTATTATCATCATTATTTTTAAGATTTTAATGACAATACCAGTAATGAAATGCAAATTATTTCTGGAATTATGAGTGCCCTCTCCGTTTTGAAATCAAATAATGACTGATGAAATAGTCTTATTTGTGAACTAAATTATGTCTTCATGGCAAGTCAGAGTGGGAATCTTATAAATATGATCAAACTAGATAACTAAACTGTATTACTATAATCGCTGAAAAATTTTTTTTCCATTAGTAGGATGGAGTTCTCTTTCATCTAAATAACTGCCTCAACTCTCCTCTCAATCTCTGTAGACATAGCCTGTGGTATTTCTTTGTTCATTGCCTAAATGGTCTT